CCATGTCGACGATAATCAAAAACTTGACACCAGTATTCGTTAGCCACCCATAGGCAGCAAACCTCTCGTCGAAAGAATGTAATAGGCCCAAGTACTGATCCACCGACGTGTGTTTCCAGCGTATTGCAACCAGATCAAGACATGAGTTTAGGAGAAGCGAAAGCTCGAGGCGAGAGTCCTCATGAGGTGGAAATATTGAGATATGGAGAGGATTGTCCTGCATCGCTTGTGTCAGTTTCGGTGTGTGGTCCAACGGGTAAGCTGAGGTACAGCCTGGGTTTTGTCTTACGAGTTTTCCAATTATGCCGATACATGCGATTGAAGGGGATCCCATACCCTTCTCCAATGCAGAAAAGTTGAAAAAAGTTTTCATCATTGACACCCTCCCGATGAGCTGGGCGGGCTGGCTTTGCTTGAGCTCTTGACAGTTGTACGTCATAACGAAGAGCCAGCTCAATCCATGAATTGACTTGGATAGAATAGAGGTCATGTGATTAGCAGCGCCAGAGACTACCTAGGTATTCGTGTGGGGAAGGAGCTAGCTACTGTAACGTAATCAACCACCCAACGCCCGCGTACACCCAACTAGACTGACCGTGTGACCGTGTCTGGGACCAGGACCAAACTTTACAGTTGTCACATTGCCTAAAAGCATTACTCCTGATCATGGTTTGTGTTCATCACATTGATCTCAAATAGACTGGTCACTGAAATCATGAATTTCACATTTGATCTCATTTAGTCTGATTCTATATATTTCTTGATGTGAATTCTGCTGAGACTAGTCATTAAAAAAACATGCAAAGTAACTATATATTAAATCTCAAAATGAAATCATGACTTGAAAAAAATGAGAAAGTGATCTCATTTAATCTCATTTAGTCTTATTCTTAGCATAAAGTTACTATTTTTAGACATTTTAAGGTTTTTTTAGACTATTTTTAATTTTTTAAAAAGTAATACTTTTTAATAATACTTAAATAAGATTTAAAGTTATTTAAAGTAATAAAAATAATTTAAATTAAGAAGTGAAAATCATGATCTCATTTGAAAAATATAATAAGAGTAGATAGTAAGTCTTACTAAAATAGTATAAAACTACTATTTAATATTAAAACTATGTAATAAGATTAGTTAAATTGATAATAAGACTATTAAAAATTCTGATTCTGGTTTCAGACACAGTCACATAGTCAGTCTAATCTTAAATTATATTATTTTAAATATTAAAGATTTCAGATTCACTTTTCAAATAAAAATCTAGTCTTAAATAAAGAATATGTTTAAATTCTTAATTATATTTTTATTCTGATCTTATTATTAAGAATAGTATTAAATTGTAAGAGGTCTACACTGAATAGATCAGTATAATATTGATAGGTCTTATATAACAAAGAGAAAAACATTAGAGAAGAAAAGAAAGAGAAAGTGCAAGAATCAGTAATCAAAGTAAATATTTATACATGTATGTAATGACATACACAGTGATGCTTTAGAGTGAAAGAATATACATGTGTTCATAGCAGCTGAGAATCAGTGATCAGAAATGAGACAGTAGAAATCTATAAAGTGTATGAAATAGTCTATATAATTGATCAGGCGCAGCTCACTACATTAGTCCTCTTCTTTCAGAAGCAGTTTTCATTAGTCAAGAACTGCTGTTTCAGATAATACAGAACTCAGAGTTCAGATTGATTAATTATAGCTGACTTATTTCACAAGATATTATCAACTGCAGCTGTGTGATCTCTTATTAAGAATATCTTCAATCTCTCACTCAAGCTCATTATCTTCTTCTATAATCTCTGACAGCTGTCAGTCAGAAGTTAGTTGAGAAGAGAATAAATCAGTGACAGCATAGCAGAGTAAGCTTATATAAAAGATATTATAAATCTCTGATAATATGTCAAGATAGTAGTTATAACTATCTAGAACTTCTATCACTTTATACTTGATATAATAATAATCTAGTGTATAAGATGAATATGTGATTTGTATATTCTTAAGATTCAATTATACTAGATCTTCTATCTTATATTGTTCAGCAGAGTCTTAGTGAATATTAATTTAATTCTCTTAATCTTGTTTTACAGTTGTTATGAAGATCTCTACTCAATCACAGATATCTCAGAGCTTTATTACTATATTATCAGTGATCTGAATCAGACTGCAGAGATTCAGTATGAACTATATAATCTTTAGAAGATTTAACATCTTCATATAATAATTATATGTAAGAAAGAACAGACTTATATCTATTAAAATAATATCTTATTTATTAATAGTGATCTCTGCATGTAGAAGTAAATCATATTAATTATCTTATAAGTAATTATAGAACTTACAGAGATAGTTCTTTACAGTCTGAATTATTCATTCTGATATATTATCAGTCTTGAAGTGATAGACAGTTGATAGATAGTATATAATCTTGAGAACTTGACAGATTCTTGTTCAGAGAGTACTTATAAATTAATGACTCTGATCTGATACTATTAATCTTAGTAACTTATATATCTGATAGAATGAACTCTGTAAGAAGACTTCAATAACTTGTTTAGTATTTATCTTATCATAAGATTTTAATATTACATCTTTACTTAGTCAGTTAATAATGATCAGAATGTTCTTACAATTCTTACTCTTAAATAGATTAATAGTGAAGTCAATCACTACATCTCATCAGATTCTATCAGAAATATCAAGTGATTTCAGTAGATCTTTTCTACAGTTCTTTTATAAGACAATAGAAGAATAGTAGTTACAGTTTCAGACAAAGCATCTGATACTATTTAATATCTCAGATTAATAGAACTCTTAGAAGATCATTCTATACAGTTATTCACAGTCTGAATGATTAATTATATACAAATTATATATCTCTTGTATTATCTGAGTGTGTAAGAGTTCAGAGTGAGAGACTCAGTATCATTCACAGAATTATAGAGTGTTATTATTATTAATTGAATATTCTGAGATGTCAGTTCTTACACATAATTCTGAGAGAAATCAGAGTGCTTCTTATTATACTACTTCAGTGAGTGCTGAAAGAAGTTTATCAGTTTAAGCTGCTATATATCATAACTCATCTAATGTAGATTCAGAAGAAGTTAAGATATCAGTGATAGTTCTAATCAGAGAAGTATATATAGTGCTGTGAGCTGTTTTATCTTGATCAGCTAGTATCTTCAGATTCAAGAGTCAGTGCTCTCAGTTCATTCAGTAAGTATCTATTATATCAGATGATATATCTTACTCTCATTGTGAGAGAACATCTACTATCAAGTTCTGACTGTCAGAACAGTAGTATATTATAAAATGAAAGCAGCTTAAGAACTCAGATTATTATATCTATTATTCAGTGAGTTTACAGATAGTTGTGAAGTATTTAAGATTTTTATAATCTGTGATTATCTCAAATTCAGAGACACTTCAAAGTTCAGAGTTTCATTCTTCTAAACAGTATACAATTGTGAGAAGTTTCTTATCATAGATCTTATAATTGTATTCAGTGAGACTCAGTTTCTTAGATATGAAGATATATGATTATAGAATATCTTCATTATTATATTATAATATCACTTCTTCTGTTACATAGTCAGAGAAATCAGTCTCAATAACTGTCTCATGATCAGAATTGAATATTATCAGTAGAGAAGTATTAATGAATATCTTCTTCATCTGTATAAATGCAGCTTCAGTGTCTACTGATTATTGAAATACTGAGTCTTTCTTAGTAAGATCTGTAAGTGATCTCATAATATCTGAGAAGTTTTATATAAATCACTGATAGAAGTTAGTAAATTCAATGAAGCTTTATACATCTTTCACAGTATGTGAAGCTTCTCATTCAAGAATGACAGAGATCTTCTCAGAATTCATTCAAATCTTCTTATCAGCTTCTATAATAAAATCTAAGTATTTAGTACTCTTAACTTCAAAATCATACTTGTTAATATCAATTGATAGTTCTGCTTCTTATAGTCATTATAATACTCTTCACACATACTCTTGATATTCTTTTCTGAATTTATTAATGAAGATGAGAATATTATCTGAATAAGTAGATATAAACTTATCAAGAAAATCTCAGAGTACTCAGTTAATACACTTCTGAAATATACTGAGATCATTAGTCAGTTCAAAGAGTGTGACTATTCATTTAAAGAGATTATAACATATTCAGAATACTATAAGTTATTCATCTTCTTCAGTAATACAAATCTTATGAAACATAGTAATGATATCTAGCTTTATAAACTATTAAGCTTATCTGATCTATGCTAGGGTTTTATTGATAAGAGATAAGAGATATCAATCTTTCTTTATCAATCTGTTCAGATCTTAGTAGTTCACACAGAATTGAAGTTCTTTATCTAGCTTCTTTATAAAGAGAATAGAAGCTGCAGTGAAAGAGTTATTAATATATATAAATCTCTTATCTAACAGATCATTGAGTGTCTTTCAAAGAAGAAGAAGTTCATCTTAAGATATATTATAAAGAGGGTCTTACAGTGACTCAGAGTTCTTATCATTTTTCTTTTCTAACTTGATACTGCGATTCACTTCTGAGCCTTGTAAAGAAGGTATATTTATAATATTATCTTATTGAAAGACATCTAGATAATCATGATATTATTGAGAAAGTTTTGTATAAGAATCTATTATTATAATATAGAATAACTTTTCTAGAGTCTTCTTAATATCAGTCAGACTGACAGAATAGATTGATATATAATTCTGCTATCAGTGATCTTGTCAGTGACTCTGTCAGTGATTTTAATGATGACTTCTTTTTCAGAGTATTTTATAAGTGTTGACAGAGATCTGTGTAAGATTCATAGTCTTATGAATATCATCTTTATAAATTCTATCATTGTTAGAGAATATTAAGCTTCTGTTTCAAGTATTTAATAAGATGTCTTGTTCAGATAGTCAGATAAGTCTTAATATAAGATTATAATTGAAATTATTAACTTCATATATATAGACATCTTCACATTGATGTTCTCTCACATCTATGTTTAGTTTCACTATGTAACAGATACAAACATCTTTTAAGTCATTAAATTCTGTGAGAAGTTGAGATTTTAATAAGAGAATACACTGAAGATTATAATATCTTACAACTGAAGATTTTATCATTGCATAGTAATATAGATTACTGTCTATCATGGCTTTCATATTATACATATTATCAATCACAGTAGATACAAGAATCACATTTATTATTATTTTCTCTTCAAATTGTTATTATCTGATCTCTTCAAGCTTCTATTTATGAATTTGAACAGAAGCTAATCTTTTCTCTGTTTTATCAGAACATTCTTATAGTTATCTTCTGAATCTTTCTTCACTGCAATGTGGTTGGTATGAACAGACACTGATTCATCTTTCAAATGAGAAGACACTAATCTTTCTCTTGATTGAGAAGGTACATAGATTAATCAGTAGTTGAAATCAATGTGCTCTGATCAGTTATAGTTGATGCATACTTCTCATTGACATTGATCAGTGACTTCTTCAGAAGTGATCTCAGAAACTCAGAAGCCTGTTTAAACAGCAGAGACTCTTGCTTATACATAGATATTTGAGTCTACTCAATTCATAGCATCTGTATCATTGTTATTCTTCAGCACAGATATATGAGTTACTGAAGTGTAACATCTTCTATCACTATTCTGTATACTCTTGAGCTTGATAAGACAGTCATTCAATATCTGAAGCTGTGTACAGAAGTCTTTATAAGTCTGATCTTTATCTACACTTATAAGAGTCTGTAAGAGTTTGAAAGTTAATGTCTTCTTGAGTATACTAATCTTTATTTGATTCTCTCAAGATTGACTATTTACTTCTAGAATTTTGATGTTGAAGTTAAAGATAAATATTGTAAGAGAAGTGTTTCTCTGTTAAATACTCTGTAATCAATCTAATACTTTCTGTTGTATGACAGTGTCTTGAAACAGAATATCAAGATATTTAATAATATTATCAGATGTTTGTAACACTGATTCACATGCTTTCATTCATGAATAAAACTTCTGTTTTATATAATTCTTCAATTATTCATTGATATATCAATCTTAATTGATTAATGAACTGATGATATCTTTATCTACACTCAGTTTCACAAGCATTTCCATTCTTCATAATGAGTAGAGAGTGAGATTGAAAGTATTAAAATACATGAGAGTATCTAAGCATTCTTTCAGCACTTTTGTATTCATTTCTGTAGATATTGAAATTACATGAGTTAATTATTAAATCTCTTCATATTGACATTGTTAAGTTGCATGCATATCAGCTATTTATTGTTATTATAATTTCAATATTAGTTGAAGCCACTGTGATATTGTATCTATGCTTGCATTCAAGAGTTTCATATTATTATTAGACATGATTGTATCAATCATTGAATGTGTAATTGTATGAATATCTTATATGTCTGAGTGTCAGAACTCTCAGGTTTTTCACTGACATTCTCTTATAAAATCTTACTCTCTTTGTAAGGTCTTATTACAGAGTCAGAATGACTGATGAGCAAGCTTCTATCTGAGAACTATCTGAGAACTCAGTATCTGCTTAACTGTTTGACTGTTTCTCTATTTCTTACATGTTATTTATGCATTTGAATATCTCAGTGGAAAATTATTTCTAATGAGAAGATAATGCATGAATAATCATTTCTAATAAGAAGATAATGAATGTTTTTCTAGTGTAAGAGGCCTACACTGAATAGATCAGTATAATATTGATAAGTCTTATATAACAAAGAGAAAAATGTTAGAGAAGAAAAGAAAGAGAAAGTGTGAGAATCAGTGATTAAAGTGAATATTTATACACATACATGATGATGTACACAGTGATGCTTTAGAGCAGAAGAATATACACGCGTTTGTAGCGGCCGAGGATCAGTGATTGAAAC